GAAAAACTGGCTTGACTTCGGAAGATTAAGGCTGCAGTAGTTGAATAGTTCTAATATTTTCAACAGTTCTCTGCCTTTTCCCAGTTCTATCAGAGTGTCCTTCCTATAAACATTTCCGTGCTTCATAGAAACTTCATATTCATCTCTTTTTTCTTTCATTTCTCCTCGGGTAAAACTCGCAGGGATATTTGGTCATCTTCGTGTTTGTGGAAGGATGCATTATTGCATTTGATTTTACGAATACTTGTGTATAAGCGTGAAAACTGAAACCGTTTTCAGACATGTCTTCCGACGAGAAAGTGGAAGACATTGATGAGTCAATACTGGATGAGCCTGTTGAGGGCGCAAATGCCGTGGACGATGAGGAGATTGATGAGTCGATTTTGGATCATGAAATGGAAATTGATGCACCTTCTGAAGCACACTCAGACGCACAATCCTACACTCAGTCAGACACTGTAAGTTCTTATAGTTTACGCAGCATGTTCGCCTCTAAATTTCCTTTCTTTTACATACTTTCTTTTTCTGAAGAGCCCACCAAGATCCGCAGAAGAGGTTAAGGAGGAAAATTCCAACGACACTCAACCTACAGATAGTGAGGAAAAACCCAAACGGGAGGATGACTCTTCTCTCAAGGTTTCGCCAGACCTGGTTTGCCGATTAGGCCACTTTTTAACAAAAGAACAATCATGATGGGTCATTCAGAAAACACCTACCAAGCGATCAAGGCGTTCTAGAGCACGACGTAATGAATCTGATGATGACAATGAAGATGACGACAAAGATGAAGATATGGAGATGGATCACAAAGGTTAGGCCTTGTATCTGTACTTGTTCATTAGTCTTCAGTAATAATATTATCTCTCATTTAACAATCTTTTTTGTTCTTCTAAAAAGCCTTTCGCAGTGTTTCCGTGCAATATTTCTGTAGACCTTAAATGGACCCTCAGACCTATAGCCTTTTTGTATTGTAGGAGAGTATCCATACTTTGCGGCAGCGTTTTGAGCGTCTGACAGTTCTGAGCGTGCGCCAGCGTTTTTGATAATCGATTCCTATACCTACTTGATCGCCAAAAACGCTGGATGAATACCTATGCTTCCCTAGTCGGTCAAAACGCTGCCGCACGGTATGAACGCACTCTGGAAGCACTTATTTCAAATTCCTTGCTCTGACTCAACTTTCATACTGTGTAAATGTGGAGAACCTGTGGTTTCCGGAATCGTGGATAATGAATCGGATAGAAGTCGCTTGACACCGCGCGCAGACGTTTTCGGAGAGCTCGCAATTCGGAGAAGCCTATAGCCAAAAGAATGCGCATTCTTGGGGAACGGGAGATTTGCCAGTAGCCGGAGTTAGTCCATTCTCATATGCCCTTTCAACGCCGATTCTTCGTCATCGCCGATTCGTCTTATCGATAGGTATAATTTCCGCTGTCACTGAAACTCCATAATCGCAAATTTTTTTGCGATTCGTGGAATTAGCCATCATTGAGGAGTATGAAGACGGCTTACTTACAATATTCTAGCCATGTCTCTGAACGTTTTTCGGTATCTCGGCGGTAGTAGCTGTAAATTTCTTTCAGCGATGCTAAGCAGTGCGGATCGCAAGATTCAAGTAGGAGATGATTTCCAAGCCCGAGTGGATGAGTCACAAAAGGCTGAACAAGAACTTGAAATGTCAGATGAGGACGAAAGAGAACATGTAAGTCAAATTCTGTCAGCAATTTTCTTTCACAGCACTGTACGTCCAAACTTTCCATATCCCGGGAATGGAGTGGGCGTCACCGCTTATCTCAGTTGAAATTGGCAGCGGCTGCGCTTCCAGTGGGATGTACCCGTTTCGAGACAACTGTTATCATCCTTTGTCCAGCAAACGACAGGCTGACATTTGTTAATGAAAATACCCGACGAAAAGCGGAAGCGCATTCTATGCCTTGTCAAATGGGAGGCAAAACGTGGCCACGCCCCTCTCATCTTTAGGTATGGAGGTTACGCTGGTATTCAGTAACCTTCTAGCGAGAGACTTGTATTTAAACAGAAGGGAGTGGTAGGAGTATATTGCTTTGATGAAGACTTTCTTGTCTGATGGTTTTTTTTCCGCTCGATACACGCTATGTGCTCCACCCTGCTGGCCGCGTTGCAATTTTAGCCCCCCCCCCCCACTGGGGCGTGCTGGCCGGGAAAGGGGTCGTATTGGGAAAGACTACCCCAGCTCATATCCTGCCCTGGTGACACAAATTTCATTGTTCTTTAGCGCATATCAACACATACCTGCACCTTCATAACTTACAGGTTATGTGGCGCCCTCCTGGTGATCTAGACGAAGATAAACTGCAGGAGTTTTGCGAAGATGCGATAGGCGTGTACAAATTGAGCTATGATCGGGTAAGTTGCTTTTGTACTGTTTGCGCCAAGAGGAAACCCAGTCATTCCCTCATTTTCAGCAGCTCTCAGACGTACTCATTTTCCTACCATATAACTGCGCAGTGGATCGATCCATCGATCGCCTGATTTTTCAAGGAGTACGTTTTATGGCCAAAATCCTTGTAATCCTTTTGTCCGGTTTAGGAGGAGAGACATTCTACACTTTCGCTTTGTATTTTTCTAGCCGCGAGAATCACTCTGGTCCAGAGGTCTTACTCTGGTGAAGTCTGCGAGCCCTTATAAAGTTGCGAATTTGTACCAGGATCCACTATGGTTCCAATAGTTTGCGGATCTTCACAAGGTTGCCTTTGCAAGCTTG